CATTACTTACATCCTTTCTACCTCTGCTCATCCCCTCATATTCTTTGGGTCTCTGTGCAAATGACACTTTATCCAAGCAGCCTTCCCTGGCCACTATGTCCAAAAGAAGAGCCCTTCACTTATTTCTGTCACTGTCCATACTCTTACCCTGCCTGAATTTTCTTTATCCACCTATCATTACATGACATGACATTATAAATTTATTTGCCTGTTACTTCCCAGCAGAATACAAGTTCCATGAGTGCAGACACTCTGTTTTGATCTTATTCTAGTCTCAGCACCTGGATGCACACATAGCTCAGGATAGGCACTTAATGAATATTCGTTAAATGAACAAATTCATCTTTGTATGCCCTCTTGTTTCTTGCCCAGTTCTTTGATCATTATAATAGATGCTGAAAAAAGGATTTCCTAAATAGAATTTTATGTACATATCAAATATTATATAACATAACCTCCAAAGGAAAAATAACCACGAAAAGCCACTTTTTCAAGAGAAATAAAGGTTACAAAGAAGTCATCACAATTCTGCTTGGCCTTTTATCATGTAGTTCTGATATGATGGATGTCTCTAGAGCACAAAATGTATCAAACTGAATGTTCCAGGAAGGAGTTCAGAAACAACTCCAGGCAGGCCACACTGCCTCTACAGACAGTGCACTGGGACAGGGTACACGAGTGGATGTGGACAGCGCCAAGGTAACTGCGAGCCATGATGCCCTGTAGTTAGGTACATACAGCTTCAGCAGATATACTTAAAGCCTAAAGCCTTGTTCGGTCCTAAGTTTTTCTTCTCCTTAATGCATTTCTCTCACTTTCCGACTAGTGGTTTCTTAGAAGGAGCCTTTTTATCTTTTGTTTCTAGGTTTTTATTATTAGAGGAGGGGAAAAAAACTCAAAATAAAAATAAACACATAGGCCAGGCGTGGTGGCTCACGCCTGTATCCCCAACACTTTGGGAGGTTGGGACAGGCAGATCACTTGAGGTCAGAAGTTCAAAAACAGCCTGGCCAACATGGTGACACCCTGTCACTACTAAAAATACAAAAATTAGCTGGGCGTGGTAGCACATGCCTGTAATCTGAGGTACTTGGGTGGCTGACACAGGGGAATCACTTGAACCCAGGAAGTGGAAGTTGCAATGAGCTGAGATTGTGCCACTGCACTCCAGAACAGAGAGAGGTTTCATCTCAAAATAAATAAATAAATAACCACATTATCTCTAATCACCCACTCTCTATTATCTCAAAAACAAGAGGGCAGTTTTAAAAATTCATCTTTTCTTGTCATCCAATGTATATAATTATGCAAATGCAAATGTCTGGAATTAAGTTTATTTCATTTAAACTAATTAGTTTAAACTAATCTTTATACAATAATTCTAAATGAGACTTTTCCTTCAGAATTTCCTTGAGTCCCTCTCTTTATATACCAGCTCCCTAAATGCAGTATCACCAACAGTATCTTTTAACCTGAAAACACAAATGTTAATCATAGCGAATCCTTTTTGGTTCTCAGGTTGTGTTTACTGCATAGCAGATGAGAACATTTTCTAAGACAGTGGTTTTTGAATCTTGTCTTCATATTAGAATCACTGCAGAACTTTTAAAAAACACCAGGCCGGGTGCGGTGGCTCATGCCTATAATCTCAGCACTTTGGGAGGCTGAGGCAGGTGGATCACGAGGTCAAGAGATCGGAACCATCCTGGTCAACATGATGAAACTCCATCTCTACTAAAAATACAAAAATTAGCTGGGCATGGTGGCACATGCCTGTAGTACCAGCTACTCGGGAGGCTGAGGCAGAAGAAATGCTTGAACCCAGGAGGCAGAGGTTGCAGTGAGCTGAGATCACACCATTGCACTCCAGCCTGGGTAACAAGAGCGAAACTCTGTCTCAAAAAAAAAAAGAAAAAAAAAAAAACCACCAATGCCCAGGCCCCACCCACGACCAAATCAGAATCTTGGAGGGTTGGACCCAGCAATAAGAACTTCTTTTTAAAGTTCCCCTGGTGACTCTAATGTACAGCCATAGGTGAGAACCAAAGCTCCTAGCAGATACAACTGTGAGTCACAAAAAGATAGTGCGGTGACAGGAATAGTAGCAAGAGGAAGCTGACCCCAAATTTAGATTTTGTTATGGTTAATCCACAGGGATCATCTCCCTGTGCTAATTTGTTGGCTTGAATAATCTGTTACAAGACTGGATATACTGATTGCTTTAGACAATAAGGATATGATTCAAAAGATAAATAAATTTAGTAGGAACTCAAGGTATTTTAAGGAAATTATTAGTCAAAGATCAAATTTACTCACAGTACTGTATCTTCTTTAGCAGTTTATGGCTTAAGAAATTCTGTATTTGCAATGTATTCTTTCCCTCTCCTGCCTCTTACTGTAATTAATGCTGCAAACTCAAGGGAGAGGAAAAAGTCCTTACTCTATTTTTGTAAGAAGTGATTTCCTAAGTGGTTTCTTGTGTTGGTGGGTCATGAAGAAAAGGTTGAAGGTGGTTGGGATTCAAGATACTGTTGGGAATCTAGACATTCTACAAAGAAACAGAGAGGAAACCTAGGCTTTCAATAAAAAGGTAAAGTAAGGCAAAAAAAAAAAAAAAAAAAGATCTAGGCAGCCAAGATGCAACAAGAATGGGGAATGGACAATGGATATTGTCTAATTGCAGGGACACTGTGGAAACATTCTGCTTATGTATGTGAGTCTGGCATAATATTTTTATTACATTAAATTTTTCCATCACACTGCTTATAAGAATTTCCAAATTGAGCATTATTTGGTCAAAAATAGAAAGGTGATGCTAAAGAACAAGCTTATAGTCTACAAATGCTACAACATAATTATAATCTGGATAAAGAGATATAATTTGGTTTGGCTGAGAAAACCTTGACTAAATTGATAGCATGTTGTCCATGACTTCTGTAACATAAATATATCCTTCTCCAGTTCTGTCAGTTCCTGAATACTTTGCTTTATAAAATGTATTTTGTTCAGGTACTTTTTCAAAACAACTGTTGCCAAGATCTGAACTGGTACTGAAAAAAAACATGATTATTTTCAGGAGAGAGAGAGAAAGAAAAGAGAGAGGAGAAATCTTAGTATGCATCAAGCATTGTAATTGCTTCAAAGTAATTTAAAAAATCAATGTCCCAATGATTTCAATTTACTTTTTCTGCCAAATCCTTTTTCAAACTGCCTGAAAATTGTGAAGCAGTCTTTTTGTAATTATAATTTGTCAATGTTTTGATATTAGCCATTTACTGTGTGCATGTGTGCATATCTATTTATATATATAGATATGAAATTAGTGCTTAAACCACTATATTAAAATAATTAGCAATGTTTCTCCAACTATAACAACTTCTAAATGATGAACTAACATACAATTTCTAAATCATTACTACCGGTTGGTACCTATCTTTGACATTATTGACTTAATTCTAAAAAACAACAAAGTGATGTTTCTAAAACCCTGAGATTTCTTTTTAAATTCCTGAGCATTAAGAGGATCAACTTAGAACATCTGTCTTTGAGACGTTATCACCCCTTCAAGATCTCTAACATTATACTGTAAATTCTATATCCTTAGTCCTATAGTAACTGCTTATGTATTGTCGATATTTTTTAAGGTAAATGAATATTCATTTGTCAACAGGAGCATTTTTTTTTCTGAGAGGAGTCATCCATACTTTTAAAAATAATGTTTTAAAATTTTCTTAAATTCAAGAATTTACTGTTCAGGAGGTACGATCACAAGTTTTATTGCAGAGTGATGGTAAGCTTGTTCTAAATACTATTATAATATTAATATAGAATTTTTTCTGTTGGATTAATACAAATATATCTTGTTAGAGTTAACAGAAAGTTTTCCTGTGTACACAAGATTAATTCCCTTCTGGACTGGTTTTCTGCTTGATCCCTCAAAAAAATGAAAAATGTCAGTAACTTTTTAAAAGACACATACCTTTACTTTGATAGTTAAGCAACAAGGAGAGTAAAAAACATCAAGGGAAGAAAAAAAGAGAACCAGAACCAGGTGCACTACAAAGCTCAATTAGTTCACAGGCTAAGGACACTGCTTTTTATAAGTTGTTTTTCTCCATTGGGAACAGTTTTCTGAGACTTCCTCTCCCTGCTCTCCATCCCGGGAGTCCTAACCAGGTTTTATCTTTTTTTTTTTTTTCCCTTTTTCTTTTTGCTTGCTTTCCAGACCAAAAGAAGTTGTCAGAGAAGTCATATTAAGTACATTTCACTGAAGGTTTTCTATTTTCAGTAAGTTTTACTGTTCTCCAGGCGATTTCTGACTGTCCCTAAACACAAAGGGACACTAGGCTCCCTGGAGACTCTTTTGAGAATCTATTTCATGAAAACTAGGAGCCCTCTGTACTTCCCAAAATGGAGCCGCAACATTTCACATTTGATTCCAGGTCGTTTGTGAAGCCACAAAAGCTTATCTTTGAACCCCAAGTTAAAAATGTCTGTGTAGAGCGAAAAGCTAAGGAACTCTGTCTCACAACTTTAGAGGGTCCCCTCGACCTTTCAAGGAAGGTCATTCCAGCCGAGTTCCAGATGCGACCAGCTGAAGCTCTCGGACCTTGACCGTGTGCTGGAGTGGGTGGATCCCCGCTAACCACTGGCTTAAAATGCAGGAAAAGTTAACTTTCTGGGCTCCTTGCACTTCCCCAAACCCGGTCTGGTAAGCGCAGGACCCGGACTGGGTCGAGGCCTCAAAACCTGACACCAGGCAACACAGGTGTTAAAATGAGCCTCTGGGTGCCACTGGTCGCCGCGCGTAAACGCACCTGAAAGAGCAGAGCCCTGAGGCTCCTTGATGTATTAATTCCTGGTCTGAGCACAGCCTGCGCAACCTGGTCACCTCCTAGCAATGCGAGCACACGCCGAACCCTCCGCGCGCGGGGTCTAACACCGACGCTACCCCCAAACCTCCCTCGCGGGGAGCCCCTGGGTGCGCGGGGCGTCCTTACCTTGGGGTTGGTCAGGAGCTGGTGCTCGTCGCTGTGCAGCAGCGCCCTGGAGTTGGACTCGGAGTTGTTCACGTAGACCTGGACGCAGGGGTACTGCGAGGTGCCCCTGCAGTCGGCGCCACAGGTGAAGGTGCACTCGAACACCTCGCCGATCTGCTGCACCGACAGCACCGTGCAGTTGGCCGCCGTGGCTTGCAGATTCTGCAGCGCGGGACTGAGCCAGCAGAAGCCGAAGATGAAGAGCGACACGACGCCGGAGATGATGAGAAACAAGCCGAGCCGGATGCTCTTGTCCTCGGCTTCCGTGTACTCGTAAGCCACCCGGAGCTTCGCCATCGCCCCCCACTCTCCGCGGCTGGCGCGCTCCCCCCGCCCCCTCCCGCCCCCGGCGCCGAGCTCGACTGCCTCGGGCGGGAGGAGCCGCAGCCGCCACCGCCGCCGCCGCGCGACAGCAGGGGAGTGGGCGGCGAGGGGGAGCGCGCGAGAACAAAGGGGCCGAGGCCGGCGACGCCCCCGGCGGCGGCAGCGCTCCCCCACCCCCCAGCCGCCGCCTGGGCCCCGCGGTGCAGCCGCCGCTTCAGAGCCTCCTGCACCCTCGGGCGCGGGGAGCGCACGGACCGCTCCACCTTCCAGCGCCCCCTGCCAGCCTCCGCCCCCGCACTCTCCCCGCCTCCCCCACCCCGCCTCCTCTCGTCGGGTGTCTCTCTGTCTCCATCGCCCGCTGGCCGCTTCTCCGCGGACTCGCCAGGCAGCTGCCCCAAGGGTAGGAGTGCCTGAGTTGGGGCGAGCCCGGGGGCTCCCCCGTGCAGGAGGAGACTCCGCCCCGCCCCGCCCGCCGCCGACCCGGGCCCTCCCGCCCCGCCCCGCCCCGCCCCGCCCCGCCCCGCCCCGCTCAGCTCCGCCCCGCCCCGCTCAGCTCCGCCTCCCCCGGGGGCGTCTCCTGTGGGCGAGGGGCTGGCGGGCACAGGCCACAGCTGCGGCTTGCAGTCGGAATCTTCGCTCAATCTCCTTAAAGGGACGTCCGAGATGAAAGATTAAGATCAATATAGCTTAACCGGAGTGAGAGTTAAAAAAATAATAATAATCAGAGGGAGGGTGGAGTTCAAATGGAGCGGCGGGAATCTTGAACTCCAAACGGGGACTGGTCACCTGCAGGGAGAGCGGCCAGGCTCCGGGCGCACCCCGGGAAGCGGACGTGGGTGGCGGTGTGGGAGGACACGGGCCTCCGCGGCCGGGCAGATCCAGGTGAAAGCCCTGGGCTAGCAGCGTGCGCTGGGAGGCCCTCGGGGACGACCCAACCGTTCCCACGCCGCGGGCGGGTTGGCGCGTGGCGGTGCCGGAGGCGTGACCCAGCTGCGCCCACGCAGCCGTCGCAGCAGCTAGAGCGAGCGCAGTAACCGTCCGGCCCCCGGGCCCCGGCCTTCTAACTGTCTAGGCGCAGACCCGCGCCCCCTGGCCCTACTCTGGCCGGAAGGGCTGCGGGATTGGATTTAAACAGGCTGAGTCAGGTGGAGTTTGCTGTGGAGGCAACGTGCGTGGGGGCAGGAGGCTGGACCAAGGAAACTTGCTGCCTGGTCCTCGATAGCCCTTGTGGCAACTTAGGTCTCCGGCAGCCGGTTCGACTCCAACTTGATTTGCCCCCATGGCTGGGGCTAAGTAGAGACGAAAGGAAAGAGGTGGAGAGACTTGGAGCCTGGGAAGAAATACTTTTCCCATCAAAATAGTGCCCTTGCGTCGGAGCTCCCAAGAACAGAATCGTTTCTGTCCTTTCCCTCGTTAGGAGTCTTGCCACCCCTGACCCACCCCAGGATTTATGTAGATGAGCTTTCCAGGAGCGCTGTTCAAGGTGGCAGCAGCGTGCAGACCCACTTTGGCACAGGTACTTTTTCTAGACCTGCGTCCTGCTCTTAATTCTTGCCGCTGCTCCCTCCACTCCCAGTTACGCCAACTGCTTCAGCCTCTATTTCGCCACTTTTTTTAAAGTTAGAATTACCTTTTCCCAAACCACACTTTTACATAAAATCAAACTGGAGAACTATTTATATCTACATTTCGAAGAATAAAATCAGAATATTCACTTCCTTGCAAACTATACATATACATAAACCTTTTTTTGGTTTGTAAGTCTCAAATGAATAAACTCTTAATTATGTTCTTGATGAACACGGAAACGGAATCATGGAATTCTTGACTTCTCTTTCCTAATCTTCAAATGTTACTTAACTGGTATTGAGTACCTTTCGACTGCAGTTCTGATACGTTATTTTGAGGCACTACATTATGACAGGTAACAAGTATTTCTAAGCAATGGGCAAATTAATTACAGGAAGATCCTAAGTGTCTTTTCCTCGATAAATCAAGAAGATGTAGGGTTTGAAAAACTTCCTAATTATGAAGATGCTTTGTTCTTTGGTGTCTTTCAAGTTTTAAGAGAGTAGATTTTTTAAATTTAAACGTAGGAATTCTTTTTTTGTTAGCATAAAGACACCTGTAAGTGATTACATTTCCTTAAAAGGAAAAGTGCGTTTACTGGTTGAAATAGCATAAGCCAAAATCACAGATCTTCTCTCTGAATCTTTTTCCTATTACAGGAAAAATAAAAAATATAGAAAAAAATATTTTTTCTATTGTTTTAATCTTTTCCAAGAAAGCTAAAGCCATGTCTAAGATCTGAGGCAATGATGAACAAATAACAAGATCCAATTACTGTAGCTCAGTATCGTGAAGAACTGAAACTTGAGGCAGAATTAATTCCTTAATGCACAGCAGTTGGGGGACCACCAATAATTTAATGAATATGATTCATTTTTCATTGATTCCACAGCTCAAAGTGTTCTGTGAGTGGCAACCTCTGCCTCAAATTGAAGTACAGTGGTGTGAGTCTAGGGAACAAAATCAGAAAATTCTACCTCATTTTAACTGAAATTCTTAGTTTTAAAATCCGTTTTCTTTTATTTCTGCATTTAGTAAATTTCTTTCCTGGCAATTATTCTTAAAGTATTTGAAGAAACTTGTGTCTTCTGTTCTTTAGACGTTTTTCTCCTGTCTCCCATTTTTAACTTGTTTTCTCCGAACACATTATCTTCACATGTTTATTGAAAGTCAAACATACCAAGACTTCACAAATTAAATCAATTTCTGTTTTATTCTTTAGGAAATACTGGAGACGTTTATTAGTTTTATTTACTTGAAACGGAGTTGCTTTGTCACATTCCCAAGGAAGATTGGATTTGTCAGCCCCTCAGTTTCAGAATACGGGTCACCACTTTCTAAGTCAGAATAGAAGTAAGAACCCCAGGAAAGCTCAGCTAAACTTTGAGGTCACTTAGAATCTCTGTTCCCTGTGGAAGATGGAAGCAGCACAGAAAAAGCAGCTTGTCCCTTCTTTGAATAGTGTTCCACCAATTAAGATTAACAATGTAATACTAAGAACCAGACTGACTTATTTGATGCACATCATTGTCTGAAGTAGTTTTTCCAGTAGGATCATGGCCAGGTCTTGATAAAGTTCAATTTAAACAAAAATTAATGTCTATCTAAACAAGGGCATTAAAGCCATTGTTATTTATAACTTGTTCTCATGATCAATATTCAAAAAGTCCTGTGGCTGATGCTAAAGTTGCAATATACAATATCATATGTATATACACTTTTTATTAAAAGATTCTAAAAAGAATGATAAAGCAGGCTTTTGTATCTGAGGAGTAGAACGGAATTTAGAGCAGGTGGGAAAATTTTTTCAAAAATTGGCACATCATGACTTTTTTTGGTAACTGCTACTAAACACCTGAAAAGCTAAGATACATAGGTGAGGAAAATAATGTATAATCACCTTCTTTTCCATTAAAATTTACATTTTAGAGTTTAGATCTGTTTAACTGAGACAGATACTACACATTATGAAAGTATGAGTGACTCAACAAAGAAAACCAAATAAAACAATTTTATTTATTTATTTATTTATTTTTGAGACGGAGTTTCGCTCTTGTTACCCAGGCTGGAGTGCAATGGCGCGATCTCGGCTCACCGCAACCTCCGCCTCCTGGGCTCAGGCAATTCTCCTGCCTCAGCCTCCTGAGTAGCTGGGATTACAGGCACGCGCCACCATGCCCAGCTAATTTTTTGTATTTTTAGTAGAGACGGGGTTTCACCATGTTGACCAGGATGGTCTCGATCTCTTGACCTCGTGATCCACCCGCCTCGGCCTGCCAAAGTGCTGGGATTACACAGTTTTATATTTTTTTGATTCAGCAGCTATAATTATAGATTTTGTTAATGTCATAGGAAATTGAGTTCAGCTTGCCAATACCAAGAAATTAACTTCCTTGCCATGTTCCATTATGAGTGTTAAATATTTGTTACTAGCCTCAGGATTTTAAATTCAAAATATATTTCCTATATGGTCACTATTTTTTTCTGATTATTCTTTCCTAACCATAAACTTCAGGTATTAAAATGAGTAAATAATTATTACTAAGAACACTACTTACTTTTTTTTTTTTTAAGACAGAGACTTGCTCTTTTGTCGCCAGGCTGGAGTGCAGTGGCATGATCTTGGCTCACTGCAATCTTTGTCTCCCAGGTTTTAGCAATTCTCCTGCCTCAGCCTTCTGAGTAGTTGGGATTACAAGCATACGCCACCACGCCCAGCTAATTTTTGTATTTTTAGTAGAGATGGGGTTTCACCATGTTGGCCAGGATGGTCTCGATCTCCTGACCTCGTGATCCGCCCACCTCGGCCTCCCAAAGTGTTAGGATTACAGGCGTGAGCCCTGGCCTACTACTTTCTATTTCTAGTCACAGTAAATTAGAACAGGAAGGGATTTTAAGTATTGCCTAGTTCAACATTAACCAAGAAGCTCCCAGACTTTGCATTTTGCTTGTAATAGTAATTATTTTTTTAAAAGTTCAAATTTATGTTTGTGTATAGCCTTTATGTTTGCAATTGTGGAAAGCAAAACATAGATAATCAATTTGCATTTCTCCATTAAAATTTACATTCTAGATAGGTTAGCAAATTTTTAATAACTTTGCTGTCTAAAGTTCCCAAAATCTCACCAACTGTGAGTATTTCATGTTAACTGCAGCGACTCTCTATGGGAGAGATATACACAGATATGTAGTAAAAGAGAAATTAGCTTTGGAACTTAAGAAGCCAAGAGGTTTTGGTCCCAGCTTTAATAGTAAATAATTTGACATAAGATAAATAATCCTCTTAGTCTATTTTTTTGCTATAACTGAATACCTGAGACTGGGCAATTTATAAAGAAACTGACTTCTTACAATTCTGGATGCTGGGAAGTCTGAGAGGATGACAGTAGTATCTGGAGAGGTCCTTGTGTGCTTTAACATGGCAGAAGGCAGTTGCATAGAAAGAGTGCCTATCAGCTCAGGCCACTGAGCCACTGATAAAGCCACCAGTCCCATCAGGCCCCACACCCTGATGATCTTATTTAATCCTAATTACCTCCCAAAGGCCCCATCTCCAAATATCATCAAAATATGAACTGGGGGAATATGTTCTAACACATTAAATTTGGGGGACACATTTAAACCATATCGATAATTTAGTATTATTTTGCTCCCTGTCATATAAAAGGGTTGGTCTAGAAGATAGTTTTAGTATTCTAATATCTAATTCCCAATTTTTGTTTTGCCGTGGACTTTATAAAATTGGGTATTGGTATATAACATTACCTAGTGAAGTTAAAAGGTCTCTTAACAGAATCCCAAAACATGGAGAGAATGTCTAGTCTAGCATTATGGCTAAAAGGAAGAGTGTTTGTCTTTAGAGAAATGGACCTATGTCGATGAAACACCTAATATAAGCTAGGTTATTTATAAAGCCCCT